GAGGCCAAAATCTCATAAGTGGGCCCAAAATGTCAGTAAATTTTTGAATAACCAAAATTTGTGCAAATGTGTATACTATGGTATTTAAGGTCGCGGAGCCAATATGGCAGACGATTTTTCAAAAAATGGCAAAAATGATTTTAATATACTTAAAATTGATTACTCAGGGGTTTTGAGGGTCGCTGATTACGATATTCAAGTCAGATTTTGAAAATTCAAAATAGCATAGTATGGGTGTGATTATTATTGTATCCATTTTGAAATTTTGTAATTCTTACATCAAATTCGGAATCAGCGACCCCAAAAACCCCCGAGTAACAAGTTTCAAGCGAATATGGTCAATTTTCAAAATTTTTGGTCGCCATATTGGATCCGCCATTTTGAATTTTCAAATTTTGTAATTCTGACATCAAATTCGGAAGCAGCGACCCCAAAAACACCCGAGTAACGAGTTTCAAGCGAATATGGTCAATTTTCAAAATTTTTTGGTCGCCATATTGGATCCGCCATTTTGAATTTTGTAAATCTGACATCAAATTCGGAAGCAGCGACCCCAAAAACACCCGAGTAACAAATTGTAGGCCAATTCCGTCTTATTTTTGGGCTCAAAATTTATTTGCGTGTATACACGTCATCGACACTTTGAGCCCACCTATTCCATGACGTGTATACACATCATCGACACCCAAGGGGTTAATGCTTTCTCCACGAGGAAGCAAATTTTTTTGCTGATCTTAAAGAGAAAGCAAAATATTCATGTAATGAACATCTAAATTTACAACTTGTTACTTTTATTTCCAATTTCATAAAAAAGGGAAAAATTTCGAGAGAATCATTCATATATATATATTTTTTTTTTTAAACACTGTATTATATGAATGAGAAAAAAGAAAAATTCTTTTTAGACTAGTTACTTCACCACAGCTTCTTTTCTTTTTGGAAAATATGTTTGCCGATATGGATTTAAAATGTATGAAGTGATTGTGATAGACATTATGGAATATGTTGGAGACAGTAAGTCGAATTTGCTCGCTTGGTCGGGTCGCAAGCTTCGCGCATGTCGATGCTTACAGTGGCCAATGGACTGGTTAAAATATTAAACGGGAGCAAAGACCCTCCGTATCTATATAGCAGGCTGTCGCGGTTCAGTTTGTCAGTGCTTTTAGAGGGTGAGAGAAGAGAGAAAGAGAGAGGGAGAAAGAAGGGTGTGGGTTGACGGAATGAAGAGGTGAGAGAGGGTCGGGGAAAAGTGTTGGAAGGGGGTGTGGGTGAACGCTCAACGGGAGGTGGGAGGGTATAGGAGAGAAGGGAAAAAGGTGAAGAGTGACTGAACCAAGGAAAGAGACAAAGTAAAGTGAGATAGCTATATATACGTTGGCAAAAGAGTATAAGGGTAAGAGTGTAAGGATAAGGGTAGAGAGGGTGAGGGAGGGGGGAATGGTTGGGTGGGCTGTCAAAGCTACCAACCATGAACCTACACTGCCATCTACAAAATCATCAGCTCTTTGAGCATGCGCCACCTATATACTCCATCCACTTCTCGCCGAGAGTACGCGTACGTGGGCTTTTCAAGATTACAGAGTCTTACGTTTCTTTTAACGTTGTTTCGGACCAAAGAAGCGCGAGCAGACTATATATATATATATACTTTCAGATCACTTGAATTTCTCCTGATTTCGCTCTTCTTTTCCAAAAAATAAACTTGCAAGACACGAGAGAAACTTTCTTCTTCTTCTTCTTCTTCTTCTTTTTTTTGGCCTCTTCAAGAGTAAAGGTTAATCCATCTAATATGTGGGTAGGGAAAACAAAAAGATTTCAAAAATAAGTTTTTTTTTGGGACTAAAGTAGGAAAGTACATTTTTGGGACAAAAATCAAGAGCTGTCAATCGATTTTGTTGAAATTGATTGATGTAGAAAGAGTATAAGAGCTTTTTTCGAAAATTGTTTTCTTTTTGTTGAAACTTTGTCTTTTAATGAAGCTCGACAATTTAGTAAAATATTATAGTCGATTTGTAACCCTTTAGATACATTGAAAAAAATAGTATTGAATCAAGAAAACCTATGTACTTGACTGTATTCAATACAAATATTTTCTTGATCCAAGAAATTTTTATTAGTTTAAAGTAAATTTTCTTGGATCAAGAAAATATTGGTATTGAATATACGGTCAAGTACATAGGTTTTCTTGATTCAATACTATTTTTTTTAGTGTATCAAATTTTCGATTTTGTGTAAAAACAACATTTATGTGATTCTCTACCCCTCACAACAAAAGGATATCCCGAGGATATCCTCAGGATATCCTAAACTAATGTAGGATATCCTGAAAACGTCCATAGGATATCCTAGGATATCCTGAGGATATCCTCAGAACATCCAAACCGCCGTTACGTAGGATATTTTTGGGATATCCTGGGGATATACTCAGGATATTCTAGGGATATCGTGGGGATATTCTTGGGATAAACTTGGTATATCGTTAAAATATACTAGAAATATCGCTAAGATCTCCCTAGGATATCATTATGATTCAAATTTTGACTATTTGAGATAGCGATTTTTTGATACAAATAGATTTCCCGTGATTGTCAATCATCTTTCAAATCTGGGCCTTAAAGTTGATAATTAGAGCATATATTTAAGACAAAAATGCGATTTTCGACACTTTAAATTCGTTTTTTATGGGACTGACCGAATGAAATTTTTTTTTTCTAACACACGCACCGAAAGTACATTTTAGATATCTTGGAAATACATTATAAATACATCCAAAAAATATGTTTTCCACTTTTATTTAATTAATTTGTAGGGTCGTTTTATGGATACCTTAGGGACATTTTTAGAACGACTCAAGGATATTCTAACCCTTAAGATAATATAGACATACTGTGGATATCCTTAGGACGTCCTAAGGACATCCCTAATTATTCCAGGGATATCCTTAGGATATCCTAATAATATCCGGGGAAATGATTAGGATATCCCTGGGACGTCCTAGGGACATCCTTAGATATCCCTAGGATATCCTAACCACCGCTACTTTGGATATCCTTAAAGTATCTTTAGGATATCCCTGGGGTATCCCTAGGATATCCAAGGGCTATTTTTGGAATATCCTAGGATATCTAGTGCTGTGAGGGACAGTGCGAAAGGGACCTTATCTGCAAACAAATTTTAGGTTATGTTTAATTTTTTTTTAGAGTAATACTACAAAAAGATTTTTTTATAAACAAATGAATTTTTTTTAACTTTGAACCCAATTTTTTTTATATATTTTTTATTTTTTACACACCTGGAAATACTAAGAATATTTTGCAAATTTGTGCTCATTCTAGACTTAGCTTGACACTGAAAGGGGTTAATATTGTCGATAGTGAACGTTAGGAGCGCCACCTTCGCGTCACGTGACAATATCACTAATTAAATGAATAAAAACTATACTCATTAAAAAAGTAAAATATAAAAAGTAGGATTCAAAATCCTACTGTTTTTTTTTGTAAATTAAAAATTATTGTTAATTTATTAAATTCATTTAAAAAAATATAATCACGTAAATAATTTTTTTATTTTATTTTTCGCAAAAACTATAAATTTCAATATATATAATTTTTTTTTTTTTTTTGTCATTCTAGAGTAATAATTTAAAAGTAGCTGTTGAATTTTACGATGTGGAATATTTTTTTTTCTATAAAGTTACAATGAAAGAATAATAATATTTACATGTCAAAGGTATATATTAATATTTACAGTAGAATGATGGGCAGAATGGGAGACATAAAGTGGCAAACCCTTGTTGGTTTTATATACATATTCTTATCGTCTCATATAAGTTAAGAGACAAATTGTGTAATGCATTTTTTATTAAACTCGACACAGGTCCTGTTTCTCGATTATGGCAAATATTAATTTATTGATGCAATTTTTGGTCCCTCTAAGAAACGTGCTTGTCATCTTATTTTACCCTTTTCATTCATGCATAATATTAATAAAAAATGTAAGTTCCAAAAAAGAATACGATTCCGTTTTTTTTTTTTAAAGTTTAAAGAATCTGTTTAAAAAAAAGGAGAAAAAATTATTATTATTAGAAGATAAATAGTGGGTGATAAATAAATATATAAATAAAAATAATATTAATAATAATAAATAAATAAATAAAAATAAAAAACGTACACTGAGAAAAAAAATTTAGTGTTTGCAACAAAATTGTTTGGTTAGGCAATTTTGGTTCTTGTAACCAAATTTTGGTTGGCTGAAACAAAGTCGTAGAGTTATCTCAACCAAACATTTTGTTAGGCCAACCAAATTATTTGGTTGAACATTTTTAAATTCCAACCAAAATTTGGTTCGATCCCAGGAGATGAGATTTTTCAAAGTCCACAAATATTTCAATTGGATAAATATAAATTAAACGTTAAATTGGATAATAAATAAATAATGAAATAAATAAAAAGATAAAAAGAAAAGAAATAAGGTAGAATAAAATTTTTAATTTTACAAAAAAAAACTGTTTGTTTGATCAACCAAACATTTTTGTTAACCTAACAAAAAAAATTTGGTTGTGCTAACCAAACATTTTTGTTATGTCAACAAAAAACACTCAACCAAATTTTTTGGTTGACTCAAACAAATAGTTTGGTTGCTTAAATACCAACAAAATTTTTTTGTTAGCCCAACCAAATTTTGGTTTCTCTGACTTAACATTTTTCTCAGTGTAAAATAAACTTCCAATTCGAAATTAATCCACTTTTTATTTTGCACTACTAAAAATTTATAATTATTTTTTGAATATTAATTAATATTAATTTATTCGTAATTATTTATGTTTATTAATTAATTTTTATATTCTATATTTTTCTTTTTCTAAGTCAATTTACATAAAAGAAAGTAAAAAAAAAAAATTTTCTTTCTAGTGTCACAAATGGTGATTTTAAGCCCTAGCGTTGAAAAGAGATACTTAATCACAATTTATCATAAATTATAGATTACGCAAGTAATTTATAAATATAAAATTTTAATATTTTTCTGTTTTACATTTTTCTCTAAAGAAAATTTTACATAGTTGATGTATAATTTATTACTATAAAATAAAAAAAATTCGCCTCATTTATAATTCGTGTACTTTTAGAAAGTTTTTTTTTCTGCTTTCGATGATGGTGTTTGCCAAAATAAAAAAAAAAAAAGTTTAAAGTAAAAAATTAGCTGTTTTCTCTTCGGACAGGTTCGTCCCTCAATTTAACTTCAGGACTTATTGCTCTGCTGAACTCCTTGCGTGACCTTGACCTTCTCCATTGAGTTTTATCCTGCAGCGAAATGAAATATTGTTATTGAAAATTTTTTTTTTTTTTTTTTTTTTTTTATCATCAAATAGAAAAAACTTTTGAAGTTTTTTTTTTCAACAGTGAACATTAAAGAATAATTATCACCGTCTAGTGGATTCGCACACATTGATGAAATATAATGATAAGAATGGCAAAAATGAAGCGTAATAATGAGATGTCCAGATTGCGGGATCAATATTTTTTTTCATATATTATATATATATATATATATATATATATATATATATATATGATGAAAAAATATAAAAGAACGCGCAGTTATCCCAGACGCGAGAGTGTCAAGTTCAAACATCGCAAAATTTCACATTAATATTTTATATATATCATAAATTTTAAACGCCATATTTATGATATACTCCGCATGTTTTTGAGAAAGGTCAGACGTGAGCAAAAAAAAATAGGGGGAATAAAACTTAAATTGGTAATTTTTAAAAATATTTACTTTTTAATACAATATACAATATAATTTAACAAGATACTGTGAGAAAAATAAAATGGGACGCATGATTATGTTTTAAAAATCATTAGTTAGAATTTTCATTTTACGGAATTTTATTTGTCATAATTATTTTTGAGCCTAATTTTTATTTCCTCGAATTAGTATTTTGCAGAATTTTCATCAAAACAATTTTCAATATTACAGAAATTTTTATATAACCGAAAATTTACTTCACAGAATTTTTATTTGCTCGAATTTTCATTTAACATAAAAGGCATTTTGAAGAATTTTTATTGAGTAGAATTTCATATTTTCATTTGTCCGAAATTGCACATATAGCCGAACAAACAATCGACGGAAATATTTTGGCGCGATTTTTAAAATTAACCAATCACAATTTTATGGATAATTTTTGATTGGTTGATTTTAAAAATCGTGCCGAATCTTTTTGTCGATTGTTTGTTTGGACATTTACAATTTAGGACAAATAAAAATTCTATCAATTAGAAATTTTGTTGATTTTTCGGTTAAGTAAAAATTCTGTAATATAGAAAGTAGTTTTGATGAAAATTCTGCAAAATACTAAATTGAACAAATAAAAATTCGGCTCAAAAATAATTATGACAAAAGAAATTCCATATAAAATGAAATGTTAATATATAATAATTAAAAATATCAATAACTTGAAAGAATAATTAATATTGCAGAAGGGGGACTTTTTAAAAGTATTACGTAAGAACTTAGAAAGAGGGATGGTTTTGCTTATTTACATACCATTTCTTATACAGGAGGGTTAGAATAGGAGGATTTAAATAAAAACTTAATTCTAAATACAAAAAAAAAAAATTACAATATAATAGGATCTTACAGTTGAAAATTTTGGACAAATTTCCTTTTATATTATATTTTTAATCAAACTACAACCTTCAAATAAATATTAGTATAACTGTCTGACTAAAACTGTGTCTTACTACTGAATATCAAGTTGTATGGATTCAAAACGTATTGTCTGACTAAAACTGATTTTTACTACTGGCATTAATAGGAAACTTATTTCTATAATACTATAAAATTAGTTAAGAAATTTTAAAGCATCTAAGAGCAAACAAATATTTATTTGGTTTCAAAAAAATTTTATTTTATTTAAAATTTTTTTATTTATTTCAAAAAATATTTTATTTCCTTTTAAAAAAATATTATTTGTTTCAAATAAATTTTATTTGGATCAAATAAAAATTTTATTTTTGACAAATAAAATTTTATTTATGTGAAACAAAATATTTATTTAAAGCAAATAAATTAGTTATTTATCGATGATTCTCAATAAATATTTTTTTTTTTTGTGAGTTGGAAACAAAAAAAATAAAAAATTAATTATTTAACCCTCCAAACATTGAATCATATTCATATTTATATTCATTCATTTAGATTCATTTAGAGAGTAAAATTTTTAGTTAAATTTTACTAATTTCATATTAAAAGACATTATTTTTAAAAACTATTAATTAGTAATTTTTTAACTTTTTTCTCTTAGAATAATTTTAAAGACTTTTTAGAAATTATATAAAATTGTTTACTTAACTTAATAAATTTTAATTTTAAAAAAATTTTACCTTTTTAGTACTCTCTAAATCTGAATCAGTAAAAATTTTACTAATTCAATCAGTACTTTTCATTTTAACTGAAGTTTCAGTTATTTTTTGAAATTTACTAATATAATTAGTGAATATTCATGCAATAGAAAATAACTTATGCACTGAGAAAAATATGCTATTAAATCAACAGCATTTTTGCTAAAGGTATAAAAATTACTGATTCTAAAGCATATGCTATAAAATTTGTAATATATTTTATAGATTCAATAGCATATGCTTTTAAATCAATAATTTTTATACCTTTGGCAGAAATGCTATTGATTCAATAGCATATTTTTCTCAGTGTGTAAATCAGTAATTTGTATATAACATAACCTTTAAAATTAACTATTAAATCAGTAGATTTTGTGGCCGCCGCCATATATTTATATTACTGATTCAATCAGTAATTGATATTTTACTAATTGAATTAGTAAATTTCTACAATTGTCAGTTGCTCAATTCTCGCTATGGCAATTAGTATAGATTTCTACTGCTAATCAGTGAAATATGACTGATTCAGATTTAGAGAGTAAATACAGATTTTAGTACAATTTCAACGTCAATTTTTCAAATTTGTTGAATAATTTTGACAAAAAAAATTGAAGCGGGGGTCTGTATTTGTTACACGGACAGAGATTTTTGATAGTGACAACGTCTTTTCTATTTAATTAAAATATATTTTATAAGATTATTACTCTCTAAATCTGAATCAGTCATATTTTACTGATTAGCAGTAGAAATCTACTAATTGACATACGAAAAAAAAATTTATTTGATTCAAATAATCGGTTGCTTGACTATTATCAAATAAATATTTACTTGAGCCAAATAATTTTTATTTGAATTAAATAAATTGTACTTGAACCAAATAATTTTTGTATTTGAAACAAATATCATTTCATTAACTCAAATAATAATTATTTGATACAAATAAATATTTATTCGATAATGATAAAGTAACCGATTATTTGAATCAAATTAATTTTTTTTTTCAGTGCATAAATTTAGAATAAACTGACAATAATTTCCAAAAAAAAATTAAATTTAAAAATATTCAATACGAAATGCCACATTATTGCCAATTGCTAAAATTTTGCACCGGAATAATATCAAAATATAACCTCAATTATGTATTTACTCTGTTCAAGAATATTGTGGTGGACCAGTTAATTATAACAATTCTTGAACAGAATACATCTATGATTGAGGTTATGTTTTGATATTATTCCGGTGCAAAATTTCAGCAATTGGCAATATTATGATTATACTATATTGTACACAGGCCAACACTACACTATACACTACACGATCGCGGATCGTTCGAATAACGATACATGTTAAATCTTTAAGGCTGCGTCTACAATAGATTAAAAAATGTGTAACGATCGTGTAGTGTAGTGTAGTGTAAAGTCGAGTATCTTGTCCCAAATAGCACGGAAACTTGCAGCAAGTTTGCAGTGCAAGGTTTGAAAGTTTGTAAGGTAAGTTTGCAGCAAACTTGTGGCAAATATTGAAATGTCCTGCCTTGATAAGTTTGCAGTAAAAACTTTCTGCAAACATGCTAAGCAAAATTGTCGAAAAGTTTCAAGAACAATTTGTAGCAAAATTGCGCTGAAAATTTTTAGAAATTTTAAAATGCAAGTAAAAGTATTGTTCAAAATTTTATAACTATTTTGTATTTAATTAAAAAATTTATAAATATTTTTACTTACCTTATCTCGATTTTTAATGTTTTTAAGCCACTAACATCGGGGCTAATAAATTGTACTCAATTTTAAAAATGTTCCCATAACAAATATTTTCAAATGTATAAAGTCACTGAGAATAAATTAAAAAAATTTTCTTTCAAACAATTGTTTCGTTATTTCTCCTTTTCTATTCTGTGATTTAATTATTTAAATTCAAAAGAAATTGACAAAATAATTTTCCATAAAACTATTAAATATTTATTTTACTAAAACTTCCATTTTAAAATTTCTAAAAATTTTCTGCGCAATTTTGCTACAAATTGTTCTTGAAACTTTTCGACAATTTTTCTTAGCATGTTTGCAGAAAGTTTTTGCTGCAAACTTGCCAAGGGAGGACATTTCAATATTTGCCATAAGTTTGCTGCAAACTTACCTTACAAACTTTCAAACCTTGCACTGCAAACTTGCAGCAAACTTGCTGCAAGTTTCCGTGCTATTTGGGGAATGACTTAGAATATTGGAAATTAACTGCTATTAATAAACAAAAACATAACCTCAAATTCAGATTTTTAATATTAAAAATTAAAATTAATAATTAAATTAATATTAAAAATTTGAATTTGAGGTTATGTTTTTGTTTAAATTAACAGCAAATTAACTGCTGTTAATAAACAAAAACAAAACCTCAAATTCAGATTTTTAATATTAAAAATTAAAATTAATAATTAAATTAATATTAAAAATTTGAATTTGAGGTTATGTTTTTGTTTAAATTAACAGCAAATTAACTGCTGTTAATAAACAAAAACAAAACCTCAAATTCAGATTTTTAATATTAAAAATTAAAATTAATAATTAAATTAATATTAAAAATTTGAATTTGAGGTTATGTTTTTGTTTATTGACAGCAGTTAATTTGTAATATTCTACACTGAGAAAAATAATATCGTAATAATAAGAAAATAATTTAGTTAAGCATTTTTAGTTGGCCTTACTAAAGTATGGTTGGCACAACAGAAAAGAAAGTGGCAATCAATCGAAAAATTTAGTTTGCTCTACCAAAAAATATTTTTGAAGGTTTCATGTCTACGAACTAAAGAATTTGGTTCTCCGTACTAAATCGCTGGCACGCAGAATTGCGCACGCGCTGTTCTCGAAAATGTGGCGTCGGTCGTAGGGCCTAGTCAGTCGTGGACCTCTTCCGCGTTATGCTTATCCGATCATTTATGTCATGTGTTTTTATTGTTCGGCTGGTCTATTATCGTAGCAGTGTCATTAAAGTTTTATAAATATTTATTTTTTAAAAGTGTACTGAAAGTGTTTCTCTTATTTCGAAAGAATGGCTGACGAAGTGACAAAACGTTTGCTAAGAGAATGGGGGTTAGAATGCCTCGTGGCATTCTGTATCAACTTTTGAAAACTTGCTCCTCAATTTTATGCGATATTATTTTGAGATATTTCATGAAACGCGCGTAGTGTGTACTTACGGGAAGATAAATTATTTTTGTAATGTCTAAGCATAATGAATTTAATAAAGTTATATTATTAATCTCATCTCTCTTGAATTAAAATACCTTATTTTTTATACAAAATCGTAAAAATGACCAAATAAACTATTTTATATAAAATAAATTATTTAGTTATTTCTACAAAAAAATTTTTTTTAATCAACGAAAACAGTAAGTTGAAATAACTAAATTTTATTTACGTCAACAGAACATTTTTTTTCATTCTAATAAATGTATTTATTACGTAGACTAAATTATTTGGTTACACCTACTAAATAATTCAATTGAGCGAAATTTAACGGTTGGACAAAAAAATTTAGTACTCCCAACCAAACGGGTTAGTTGCACATATATCAAATAAAAAATTTGGTAGGGACAACCAAACTTTGATACATGATACCAAACAGTTTTCTCAGTGAAGATACACGACTTTACACTACACTACACTATACGATTGTTAAACATTTTTTAATCTATTGTAGATGCAGCCTAACTGGTCGGTAACATAGAAAACTATAAAAAATTTCATTTCCAAATTTGACAAAAATAAGTTTGGCATCGAGATTAGATCAAAAGTAATCAAATACCACACACAGAGAGAAATAGATGGTACGGGGTACTATCTAGATAGTATCAGGTATCATATTTGATCTTACATATGTGACAGTCCCCGAGAGAAGGGACCTTAGCTCACCAGAGGTCAATATTGAGTTTTATATGGTAAATGATAGATTTTGAATTGCTTTTTCACATGCAAAAGTCAAAAACTGATTAGGATAATTGCTTTTGACACAATAACATTTTGAAGATGGGTATGTCAAGCGCATTTCGAGGCGGATTGTGGCACTCAAGAAATCAGCCCCACTACTTTACTTACACAACTATACTCTCGCGTACGTGAGCTTCGCTCGGTTCGTGCTGACTGAGACCCGAAGATACACGAAGTAGACGAAGCTCACGTATACAGAAACACAACGTTGTGTTAGTGTGGTGGGGGAACTTTTCAGAAGTTCCGCCCCACTCTTCGAGTTCCGCGTTTCTGCTTCTTCTTCAAACGCTTGCCCTGTGAAATTCGTTTTGGTGAGCTAAGGTCCCTTCTCTCGAGGACTGTCACATATATACGGACAGGAATCTAGATTGTACGGGATACTATACATATTGTACGGAGTACCATCTTGATTGTAAAGTGGGTAACATAACCTCCCTTTTTAACATCTAGATGGTACCGAGTAGCATATAGATTGTACCGGATACCATCTACTTTTTACCATCTTAAGATCATAATTTCTTACCATCTATTTCTCTCCGTGCAAAAATCTTGAAAATATGACTTATAGTTTTCGAGAAATCGACGGCAATATGAACGACGGCGATTTTGACGTTGTCACGTCAAAATTTATTTTTTAAATTCTGTCTTTTAATTACGTGTTGAGTAAAAAAAAATATCAGTTTCAACATCATTATTTGTGGGTACATTAACCTCGGTTGATGCGGTAATATTTTTTATACTGTTTTCGACAATACCTACATTATTAATTTTATATATTAATAAAACATTTATATGCACCGTACTAATCACCTTTCCTACTCTTTATTTTAAAACAATGAAATTTGCATTTGACTGGAAATAAATATGAATATTTAATAAGTTTCTTACATTTGGTTCCAAGAGGCGACAAATTGTTGACATGTCTCTGCAGATATTTTCTATTTTCAATTGTTCCATAGTTAACTGTTGGAAATAATTGCAATACGTATTTAATAATAATAATAATAATAATAATAATAATAATAGTACATTTTTTATAATAATTTGTTTTTAGTCTTTATTATGCTTCAATATGAATTTTTAATTACACAGAAAATTAAAAGGCATTAAAATAAGCTGCAACGCTTATTATTTTAATCCAATTTTGCTTATTTTAATACCAAAATGGATTAAAATAATAAGCGTTGCAGCTTATTTTAATGCCTTTTAATTTTCTGTGTAATAATTTTTGTAAATTGACAATTTTTGATTCAATAAATTTTTTATAAGAAAAGAATTTTATTTTTGTTTTTTTAAAAAATAAATATTATTTTAAAATATGAAATTTCAATAAAATTAAAAGTATTTTTAAAAAATATTCATTTATTATGTATAATCAATTTATATATATTGAAAAATTCAAAATTGGTTTTAAAATAATTTTCACAATTTTAAATATATATATATATATATATATATATATATATACGTTTTTTGTATTGATTATATAAATAAATATATTTATTATCTTGTTAAAAATTATTTTGATATAAAATATTTTTATTTTATTAATAAAAATTGAAAGAATTTATTTTTAATAACCTCTGATATTTCATATTTAATTTTATTTTTTTTTTAATTAAATTTTGTTATAATTTTTATTTTATCAACGAGATAAAAAATAATTATTATTTTATATATAGTAGAAAAATAATATTGAATGGTTCTTTTATAACCGATAATAAAAATTATATAAAATATTATAAGAACAAATATTTTATTGTTATTGAATGATGCTGATGTATTTTTTTTTTTTTTTTTATAGCGATATTGAAAAAGTTTTTTTCCGCAAAAGTACTCAAAAATCGATAAAGCATGAACGCATCACGTTATATGCGATAAATAAAAGAAAAGTTGAAAGCTTACTGTTTTTTTGATGTTTTCTTGGAAGAGATCCCTGTGACGTAGCTATAAAGTCAATCGAGTATAATATCAGGTTTCCGACGAGTGACTTACAAAAAAAGAGAAAAGAAAAAAAAAAAAAATTCACAGAAGAATCAACGCCACTATAGGGCATCAATCACTAATTTTTGAAAATGCTTAAACTTACATGTTTATATACACAGTCATAGACGGGTTTTATTCTCAATAAACTCTGCTTTCTTGGCATTTTCTAAAAAGAATTTTTTGTAATTTTACTTTTTATTATTTATTTATTAATATTAAATCTAAAATTCATATTTGATTGTATAAAAATAAATAGAAATATATATATATATATATAAAATATTATATGAGGGCATTCAACGGGAAATTTTCATTCAAAATTTTTTGAATCATTTTTTTCGGGCAAAAAAAAATTTGAATGAAAATTTCCCATGGAATGCCCCATATGTATAAAAATATAATAATAATAAAAAATATTATATACTTTAGAATTATTTGTATCCTGTCGAGAAAATTGATTGTATTATAGCAGTAAATAATAAATAATATAAGTGATTTTTGGAATACAAAAGAAAAAGAAAAATATAATTCATTTACCTCGTCAGAATCTTTTTCCAGGCTTTCAGCAAGTGTTTTATTCATTTCAGATATTCTTAAACCCTAAAATAAAAAATAAATTCTTTACAATTTTTATATTATATATATATATATATGAAATTGAAGGCTATATACTATTTTACGATTAGTTTCGATCAATCATTGAAAGTGTATATATATACAAGTTTTGATTAAAAATGAATTCAATCATCAAGTAGTTTTCGAAGTAAATTGTATAAAATAAGTCTTGTGTGTTTTGCAATCAATAAAAGTTCACCTAACAGCAAATGAAATATAACGAACTATTTCGTTTTTCTCGTAAGTATAAATATAAGAAAAATAAAATTACTCTCTTCTTCCTTTCATCAATGAGTACTAAAAAAAAAATTAAGTTTTTCAATTGTTTATTTATTTAATGTATTAACGGGCATTACAAAATAATAAAATTGCCCAATTATTTTTTATAATTTTAAATAATATTTGATAGATTTTTATGAAACTTGGTATCTTTCTGTACATTTTTTATCGGCCATTTTTAATTTCGAGCAAATAAAAAATTCGGCTTTTTAAGAATTTTGTTAAATGAAAATGATACATTTTTTTAAAATTTCGTTTTAATATATGTGACGCTCCACGAGAGAAGGGACCTATCTCCGAAATAATATTAGGCTTACTTTTCATGTACGATGCACGGAAAACTGAGCCTAATGTTATTTCAGGGATAGGTAAAAATCATTGACCTAAGAATGTTATTTTACTCCCTGTTATCTTCGCCTCTGGACTTCATTTTTTGTGTTATGTTCGTATCATGAATTATGATATTTGACTTAATTTATGTTATGTTGTTTAATTTATTAAATGACTTAATTTAGGTTGACTTAATTTAGGTTATGTTCGCCTTTTAACCTGACATATTTGACCTCATTTTAACCTCATTTTGAAGTTATGTTTGCCTCTTGACCTGTGACCTAATTTTTGAAGTTATGTTCGCCTCTTCACCTGTGATATTTGGCCTGATTTTGAGGTTATGTTCGACTCTCGACCTCCCGAACATCATATTTTGAGGTTATGTTTGCCTCTTGACCTATGGCCACTGACTTGCGGGAGAGGGAGGTGGGGGAGCATCATAATTTGAGGTTATGTTTGCCTTTTGACCTATGACCTCTATGGGTCGTAGGTCTTGTGGGGGAGGGGGAAGCTTCATATTTTATCTAATTTTGAGGATATGTTCGCCTCTTGACCTGCGATATTCGACCTAATTTTAAGGTTATGTTCACCTTTTGACCCGCGATATTTGACCTAATTTTGAGGGTATAATCTAACCTAACCTAACCTAACCTGAAGGTCAAGAATTCTTGAAACAGCGGCGGCGATATCTTTTTGTAATATAGGAATATATATATATATATATATATAACATTTTTGTAAGTCCTGGAATTAACGTATTTTTAATTAAAAAATTTACAAATTTAATATTTTCGAAACAGAGCAAAGTACCTTCGTCAAATTCTATAATAGCAGATAAATTATATTAGTAAACAAATTATCTGCAAAACATCAAATTTTTTTTTATCTTTCAGAAAAAAAGTTATTAGCTTTAAAAAATTATGAAATTATTTTATACACTTTCAGGTCCTTCAACTATTACGTAAGTATCTAAGGGGTAGGGCTTACGCGCCATACAAAATTTTTATTTTTTCTATTACAATATGCTTATTTGGAAGATGAAGGGGGGGAGTCAAAAAACCTTTAAAATATGCTTACGTAATACTTGAATGACCCCTTTTAAGAAATAGAAAAATATATCATAATTATATTATACATTAAAATCTATTTTTATAATAAAGGGGCTAATTAAATTAAATTTTTTTTTAATGTAATTCAATTAACTGGATAATTATAATTTTTTTATTAAAATAATTTTACATTCATAAAATATTTAACACATATCATATATATATTTGAGACATTTTTCATTTCAATTTTATCGTTTTAATTGTCAAAAAGAAAAGAAATATAATTTGCGAAATAAGATAATAATTTACTGTCATTATAAAAAGAGAATTTTAAAAAAAGATAGAAAGAAATTACAATGTGCAAGTAAAAAAAAAAATATAATTCTCATCGTGTACAATTCATCTTTAAAGAACATTAATATTATATTATTAGATGGGAAAAAAAATGTAATATCCTTTTTTTATACAATGAAAATTTCAAAGGAAATAAAAAGAGAAAAAAAAGAGCGTCCGTTATGAAAAGTGATTTTATGGTGTAATAAAAAAATGCATATTTGAAGTACAGTTTTATTTGCAGAAAATGTATCAAATTGAATTTCGATTTCCGACGGATCGAAGCATATAAAAAGTAGTTAGTACTCTTTATTTTCTTCGTTTCTTTTTCTTTTCTTTTTTTTTTTCTAAACGAGAATGTGCAAAATGATGGTGCGGTACATTTTCTTGCAAACTATATACTAACATACTTTATACATATATACGTATATATGTTGGCTGGCATAAAAAGCGATATTAAACCATCTACAGGCTTTGTGTATATATGCTTGCACTTAAAAATGCGTGAATACGTTGCTCGCGGCCAGCGTATCAGCACTGAGATATTACTTTTTGCCGGCTATAAAACGTTACTTCATCTATGGGCATGTATACGTTGAGAACATCCTCGAAAATATATATATAACTTATATGAATTACTTTTTTTACTGGAAATGACGACGACTAATCTTCTAAATTTTAAATATATATATTTATTCTCTCTATATTATAAACAGATTTCTCTGCAGTCTCCAGGATTCAAGTTCATTGGTCAAACATGAACTCAAAATTCAAAGTCATAGGTCAAACATAACCTCAAAATTATAGATCATAGGTCAAACATGATCTCAAAAAAGATCATAAGGCAAGCTGTGATAAAAATTAAAAAGATATCGACGCCGCCTCTGATTCAGAAAGTTTTAATGATGTGAATATAACCGAAAGTCTTATATGACCAGAACAAAATATCAAATATATCAAGGATTTTTGTCTTAAAAAATTTCAAAAATTTATAAGATTGAACGAATTCATGCAAAAGTTCGATTGCAAATCGTAAAATAGGAAAGTAATATAATGATAGTTTGTAGGAGGTTCATTACGTTCAGTCGCCATCAGATGGCAGCAGCATGCAGGGAACACAAAGTTGCAGCTGTCGTTATATTATATTATATATAAAAATATATTATTTTTATCTTATTATATATTTTTAAATTAGTAATTACTAATTTTCTATAACATGTTATTAAAAACAAACAAAAAATTTGTTAAAGAATTGTAATTTTAAAATAAAAATAATACAAAATTATTTCTTAAAAAAAATGAGGAAATTTTGTTCAATTTTTTTTTTATTTTTGTCTTAAAAAATTAGATTTTTGTTGAAAATTACGTTTGAGAAATACAAATTAAATTAAATTTTTTAATCCTCTATTTATTAAATCAATTATAATTACAGACCATAAGACCACGCGAATGTTTACAAACGTGAATTTAATAGGATCCTTTATTTATAAAAAAAAGATAAAGAAATTTTTCAAAAAATTATAATTGAGAAATAAATTGATAGTTTTTTTATTTCTCAATTATAATTTTTTGAAAAAATTCTATGTTTTTTTTTTATAATTAATGGATCAAATAATTGAAAATGTTTAACGTCCGAGAAGTATATTAATTAGAATTGTGTTAATTAGTTAATTAGAATTCTGTCAAAGAATTGTGATTTTGAAATAAAAATTAAGCAAAATTATTTCATTTAAAAAAATACAAAGAATTTCGTTAAATTTTTTCTTTATTTTTGCCTAAATAATAAATTTCCATGAAAAATTATGATTGAGAAATACAAATAAAACGAAATTATTTGATTATAAAAAAAAAAAAATTATTTGATATTGAACCAAATCTAAATAAGTCGATTATTTGCTGAAATGTATTTTATTAAAAAAGAAGGATATAATAGTTTAAATAAAATGACAGATTTAGAAAATTTTTATGTATGAAATAATTTTCAATTTTATTTCTAACAATTTAAAATGATAAATTACTCATTCTCGTTATTATCTATTTTTCGTATAATTGTTTTTGTTTTGTTCAATTTGCAAATTTATTGTAAGGTGTCGATAGTATTTGGAATTCAGTTTCAAAATTGACGTTGCAAAACAACTTACATATTTTATTTTTTATTTATTTATTTAATTACAATGTACGGGCTTTTACTTCTGTATTGATTTTATTATGTTTTATTAATTATTCTGATTATTTATTTAATTATTTATTGTTTGTTTATTTAATACTTGTTCTTTAAGAAATGGATTCATTTAATTGGTATGCATTTATAATTTTAATTTTCCTTTTCGATTATTTAAAATTAATAATTTATTTTAATTAATGCCATGAGGGGCGCATATGGATGATCCATAGGGGCCCCTCATGGAAACGACATGCTCATCGATGAGGGCGCCCTTATGGGCCCTCACGTTTGCCCTCATCTTGCCCTCAAGTTTGCCATAATGTTTTTTAATCAATAATATTAATAATAAAAGTTAATTAATAATAAATAAGCTTAAGTTATGAATAAATAACATATTTATTTAATAATTATTCAATTTTAAATTAAATTCTTACTCAAACTGAATTTATTAATTAACGTTCTAATTAATTAACTGTCGGATATACATAATTAAAAGTAATAATAAATTAATTAATTATAAAATTAAAAAATATGTAATTTATGCATACTATTAACGGATATTTTCATTTTTCAATTAATTCATACATAGAATTAATGATTAAACGCAAACCTGAGAAATAAATAAATCTAACGCATGGGGGGAATCGAACCTACGACCTACGGACTATGAGTCTAACGCTTTACCAACTACGCTACGCACGCTACTTCAAAACGAATGCTAACTTCTTGATGCTATTTAAACTTCAAAAATACCTAACAAAGAAAAGTGCTTAACATCATTTAGTTAAAGTTAAGATATTAAATTATACTTTCCAATCAAATGCAATTTATAAAATATAATTAATTATATGCTTTATGATTATTATCATGAATCATCTCAGGTGAATTTTCAAAAAAAGTGTAAATATATTTTTATTAAAAACGCGTTTTTCGTTGTTCTGAATCATTATAAACATTAATTTTTTGGTGATAAAAAAATATTTGATTTTTGGACTTAGAAAATTTTGCTAATCGATCATGAGGGCGATCCATGCGGGCCCCTACGATGGCCCTCATCTATTTTGCCATAAGTGTGAGTGTTATTTTCAAAAAAGTGTAAATATATTTTTATTAAAAACGCGTTTTTCGTTGTTCTGAATCATTGGAAACATTCATTTTGTGTTGATGAAAAAATATTTGAATTTTGGACTTAGAAAATTTTGCTAATCGATCATGAGGGCGATCCATGCGGGGCCCCTACGTTGCCCCTCATGGATTCGCCATATGGATCAGCCCTCATGGGCCCCCGCCGGGGGCCCCGAACTCTTGAGGGCAAGATCTTGGCTTATTCCACACGGGAAATTTAATTTTTAATTTTATATTCAAAGTCTAAACTCTATGTTTTTCCAACGTTAGGGTTATTTTTATTTAAATTTTGTTTTTGTTTAATTTGACACCGCAAATGTTTGTCAACTTTATAACTTTGACATCTGTTTTAACTTGTATTTAATTTGTATTTCTCAATCGTAATTTTCAACAAAAATCTAATTTTTTTAGTCAAAAATAAAAAAAAAAAATTTAACAAAATTTACTTGTTCTTTTTTTAAGAAATAATTTTGTATAATTTTTATTTCAAAATTACAATTCTTTAACAAATTTTCTGTTTGTATTTAATAACATGTTATAGAAAATTAGTAATTACTAATTTAAAAATATATAATAAGATAAAAATAATAAACTTTTATATAATATAATATAACGACAGCTGCAACTTTGTGCTGCCTGCATGCTGCTGCCATCTGATGGCGACTGAACGTAATGAACCTCCCACAAACTATCATTATATTACTTTCCTATTTCCCGTTTTGAAATCGAACTTTTGCATGAATTCGTTGAATTTTTTAACTTTTGAAAATTTATAAGGCAAAGATCTTTGATATATTTGCCAATTTTGTAAAAAGTGTTTGTGTTTTGAAAAAAAAATCACACTTGTAATTCATTGCAAATCTTTTGATGCATTCCGACGTTCGAAATTGGAACATATTTTACTATAAGTATCGTGCATAACAAAAGCGACAGGTTTGAGAAATTATACTTTTTACATTAATAATTAAATAATTATAAATTAATTTAACATAAGCAAAGTAGAAATTGACTCTTAAGAAGTTTTTTTTAATTGTGTGTTTTTACGTGAATTCTAAAAAATACATTTTAATACAATTTAATTTTTTACTGCATTTATATTTTATAAATATTGTTAAATTGTAAATAATGCAATGCATTTTCATTAGTATTGTTTTTGAATTTGATTATTAATATGTAATTATTTTGTCTCTTCATTATTATTATTATTATTATTATTATTATTATTATTATTATTATTATTATTAAAATATATGCATTTTGTTTTCACAGTTTACAGAGGTAAAAGAAATAAATTTAATAAATGTAATAATTTTGCGGCTATATAGTGCGCGCGCTTTAGTTTTATGTGAAATTCTACGTCATTCGCTACTGTTGCCTTCATAAAATTGCTGCAATAATTAACCATGCGCAGTTTAGTGGTTTTAATAAAAAATATTTGTTTAGATGAGAAAAGTTGTGAAAAAGAATTGTTTTTTTTTTAATTCAACAAAACGATTTGAACTTTATTTTTTCATTTGTTAAAAACACAAAATTTTCTAATATAATATAATAAATAATATAATAATAATTAATAATTATATAATATTTTATAGTTTAAAGAAAGGAGGGGGGCCCCTAAGGCCTATATTTCGCCCCCTTGGGATTTGAATTTAAATGGTTGAAAACTTTTTCTTATAGTAGAAAAAGTAATTTCTCATTGATTATAGGTGAAACGGGGGTGTTTTGGTCAAATTAACCCTTAGATTTTATGGTTTTCTTTTCAAAAAGAGTGTCAAAAAAACATGCAAAAAACATTTTCCAAATGTTGAGCAATTGGCTTGAAAATCATTGCTCGGGGGTTTTCGGGGTCGCTGATTACGAATCCGATGTTAGTTTTTCAAAATTCAAAATGGCGGATCAACACTTAACGAAAACTCTTAATTTAAGAGGAAAAAGGCAAAACTTTTATTTTCGACATTCTTACTCTCAAAATAAAAATAAAATCTAATTTAAAAGGAAAATACAATTCGTTTTTTTGATGGAGGAGTTTTCCTCTCAATATGAGATTATCGCCGTTTTCCTAAATATATGGTGTAAATAAAATGAAAATAATACTTAAAGTTTATGGGCGATAAGTTTAGTGCAGTTGTGAATTTGTTTCTTTGTAAGTGTTGTACTTTGTATAATGTATAATAAATTTCTAACATTATTGCTTTTACCCGGACCCCTTCAATTATAATCATTTTTTTTTTTTTTTTTTTTTTTTTTTGTCTAGAAATTACAACAATTTTGTTCTTTTTAGGATACATACGGCCACTGCACACGCGATTATTGTGACTGCTACAGCGCACGTGAAAAAGGTGACGGGTCCACAATTCGAATCGGTGCCAAGAAGTGTTCTAAGGTTGCTGTCCGTGACCAGGAAGCGGTAAATCTAAAATCAGAAAATTTACTCTTAAAAGCATGCACGCGGGAAGAATGGCGGCCAAGATTAATAGCAAAGTCTGTGTAAGAAAGATATGGTGAGTTCTTGTTCATTTTTTTTTTTTTTCATTTCTTTTCAGCCCCCATCTCTTTTATTCTGCGCACCTTTATTTTATACAATTTTACGTGTGAATTAGACAGAAAATTTGCATTCCCTTGAGTCTCATTATCTAAAAGCTTTACTGTGATATAAATCTTTGGCGCTTTTATATATAAACTCTCTTCTCTTTCCATTTCATTTTAAGAGCATTTGAACCTTCGTGACGTCACAAATCATGGCGCATGACACGCAAACTTCACAGGTATGTGAAAAACACAATTTTGAATATTTTTTAAAAAAACCTTTTGGAAAATGTTCAGAATAACATAGACTCTGTCTGTTATGTGCGGAAAATTCAAAATTTTGCGTTTAAAACGTTTTTTAAACAATGTTAAGGTCACAAATCATGGCGAATGACACGCAAACTTCTCAGGTATGTGAAAAACACAATTTTGAATATTTTTTAAAAAAACCTTTTGGAAAATATTCAGAATAACACAGACTCTGTCTGTTATGTGCGAAAAATTCAAAATTTTGCGTTTAAAACGTTTTTTAAACAATGCCTACATATAAGCAATTCGTGTATTTTTCCTTACTTGTGACAACCAACTTAAGCATTGTTTAAAAAACGTTTTATACGCAAAATTTTGAATTTTTCTCACATAACAGACATAGTCTATGTTTCTCTGAACATTTTCCAAAAGGTTTTTTTAAAAAATATTCAAAATTGTGTTTTTCACATACCTGAGAAGTTTGCGTGTCATGCGCCATGATTTGTGACCTTAACATTGTTTAAAAAACGTTTTAAACGCAAAATTTTGAATTTTCCGCACATAACAGACAGAGTCTATGTTATTCTGAACATTTTCCAAAAGGTTTTTTTAAAAAATATTCAAAATTGTGCTTTTCACATACCTGAGAAGTTTGCGTGTCATGCGCCATGATTTGTGACGTCACGAAGGTTCAAATGCTCTTAAATCATCATGTTTTTTTACACTAGTCAACTTTTACAGCTCTCAAGGCTAATACATTATTTTTTTATTGTTCTCTTGTGAATAGAAGGGACAGTTTTTAAATTAGTTAATAATCTTTGATGAGCTAATCGGAAATGTATAGTTATATATAGCTATTTTCTTTTGAAATAAGATGATGTAACGTTAAATTGTCCTTGGATGGATACACACTCTTTAAATCTGAATTAGTGGAAAACTACTAAACAGTAAAACCGTAAACGAATCGGTCCTATTTCAATTTAGTATAAAACAACTAATTTTTAGTAGAAAACAACAAATTTAACAGTCAAATTTGACTAATTATTTGTAAAAAAAAATTACTAAAATATTTGGTACACTGAGAAAAATATGCTATTGAATCAACAGCATTTCTGCCAAAGGTATAAAAATTATTGATTCAAAAGCATATGCTTTAAAATTTGTAAAATATTTTATAGATTCTATAGCATATGCTTTTGAATCAATAATTTTTATACCTTTGTCAGAAATGCTATTGATTCAATATCATATTTTTCTCAGTGTAGACATAAATCTACTAATTTTTTAGTCATGTAACATAACATAAAAATTAGATTAACTAATGAATTAGTTATTTTTGACTAAAATTTAATTATTACTGTTACTAATTCATTTAATAAACGATTCGCTGCTGTTGAATTAGACAAAAGTGACTAATACGAAATTAGAGAGCACCATGCAGAAATGCACCTAGTTATCAGCACCAAGTTAATTTTGAAAAAATTTATATTAGCAATAACATAAATAAAGTTAAAATGTAACATCACCCACTCTCTAAATCTGAATTAGTTAAAATGTTTACTAATTTGAATAAGTGATTCACTTTTTGCTTCTGAATTAGTAAAATTTTACTAATTATTAGTAACTTTTACTAACAATTAGTAACTTTTACTAACAATTAGTAACTTTTACTAACAATTAGTAAAATTTTACTAATTCTAAAGCAAAAAGTGAGTCACTAATTTAAATTAGTAAACATTTTTAATAATTCAGATTTAGAGAGCAAACACTTTCAAAAAATCGAATTTTTTTTTCTTAAATGGTTCCTTAGGATGTTAGGAATAATATTCCATTAGTTTAAAGTCGAAAAAAAACATGGAACTATTTTTAAAAAATAACTTTCGGCGGAATGACACATTACATAGTAAGATAATTTAATATCACGGAGAGAAATTTCTAGGAATATTTACCGTGCTGCCACCTGAAAGTGAGTGCAAAGTAAATTCTGGCAGTTTTTACTGTGCTGCCTCTACAATCTGTAATGCAAAATTGTAGGGTCAGCACAGTAAAAACTGCCAGAATGTACTTTGCACTCACTTTCAGATGGCAGCACGGTAAATATTCCTAGAAATTTCTTTCCGTGCACGGAAAAAAATTTATTGGTACTGATTACAATACAGTGGAACTTCGATTATTCGAACTAATCTAGGCAAGGCCGGGTTCGGATAATCGAAAATTCGGATAATAGAGATTTTATTTTTTTTTAATTAAAGTAAAAAAATGTACAGTTGAACTATATATTTAACTTAATACATATGTTTTTAAATATACATAAGTATATACATAATATATGTAAATATATATTAATTAATAATATATTAAAACCTCAGAAAATTCGGAAATTTTTAAGATTTTTTTGGCATAAAGTTGGTTATTTTGCTTTGAAAGATAGCATCTATTCGTTTTTTAGATGCCAAATCACGCATTCTTCTCAGAAATGAATGAACGATAAAATAAATAGAGAAAATAAAATTTAAAATTCGGGAGACCAAAAAATAGTTCGAATAATAGAAGTTCGGATAATAGAGGGTTCGTATAATAGAGGTTCGGATAATCGAGGTTCCACTGTAGTAGAACATTACTGCTCGGATATGTGGCCATTTTTTGTAACGCTTACAAGAGCTTTGTTATTTATCATTCCTCAAGTTAACTGTACTTATTACGAATTTATTGAAAATAAATACAAAGTAAATATGAGTGAACACAAAGTCTACGCGAGTGATTACAGTAGTCTACATAAGAAGGAAGTCTCGGATTCTTTCTCATGTTTGCTGCAGAATGAAGTAGTTAGTTATGCATACAATCGTAGCCACTACTGCAGCACTACAGTAAATTAAGGTGAGCGCGTCCTGCCTCCCTATTTTACTGTAGTCCTTTGTAAAGGCTAATGTTGCGATATAATAGTGCCTACAAAGGACTACAGTGAACTAAAAAAAGAAATTTTTAACTAAAATACAATTTTTTTCAAATTAATGTCTACCACTCATTATTTTACTCTTTAGAGACACCCAACTTCGACCTTAACTATATTCTCCCAATCAAAAATTTACTAATGGCGCAGTACTGGCGGAGTACTGACAAGTGTTGGCGCAGTACTGGCACCCAGTATTGGCGTAACTTTGGGATGATAACATTTTATCAGTATTGGCTTCCAGAGTTGGCACCAGTACTGGTAACCACTACTGGTTCAGTACTAGCCGAGTACTGGCAGTTTGGTAATTTATTGTATACGAAAAGAAAGCTTTAACTGTAACAGAGATAAGTTTCACTGCAATAGTGAAATCTTTGCTCCAGGTAATACTTTTTTTTTAGGAAAAAGTGTGTGAAATTTTTAGTAACCCAACATAAATTAAATATTAATTAAATTAGTCAACTAACTAATTAATATTTTATTATATATAAAATCGAAAACACCAAGAGTTTTTATTTTTTATTAAGTATAATATATATTGCAAATTATTATTTAAAAAAATCAAAAAATAAATATAAAAATATGTTTATTATAAAACCAAAGTTTTTATAATATATAAAAACAGTTCAGTAAAAATAAAAATGTTTATAAAATAATTATAATGTATATAATTATACAATTAGCTATTTAATTATTTTATTATTCACTTTAATTATTTGCATCAAAATAAATTTTTGAAAAACTTTTTTAAGAAAATAAAAGTTGTTTTTTAATATTTAACAAGTGTTGTCAAGAAAATTTTTTTAAATTTTTATTTTAAAAATTATTAATTTTTTTATAAAAAAATTTATTTATTTTTAGTTTGATCGTTTTAAAATTTTTTTGGTTTATTGCATATCTGAAAACAATAAAAAAAAAACTTGCAAAATGTTTTGGAATTAGTCTCAGGAAACTTTTTGTTTAAATAATTTTACCCACAAAAAGCAAAATAAAATACCTTTTAATTTTCAAAAATAAAATCAAAGTGAAAAAATTTTTATAAACAAAAAATTTTTACAAAAAGATTTATCAGGTTCACTCTAGAACTTTTTGTAAACTAGTATTAATCAAATAGAAAATCTATTTGAGCCAGTACTGGCTCAATATCGGCTCAGTATTGGTTTGCCAGTACTGGAAGGGAAGTACTGCACCAGTACTGATACAATGAAAATACCAGTACTGGTTCAGTACAGACTGCCCAGCCTTGGCAGCCAATACTGAACCAGTACTGCGCCAGTAGTTAACTCTGGTATAATACTGAAATTTTTGGTTGGGCTTAATCGCACCACTTTTCAGAAATCTAATATTGCGTAGAAATTTTGTTGTAAACAAATTTGGGGGAACGGGGGATCGAACGCGGGTTTGACGAACGCAAACGAATTACCTAACCAACTGCTGGAGAAAAAAAAATCTTGCCCTTAAGGTGAAAATGATTTTATTGGTTGAAATGGCGCGCGTTAATTTTAAATACACTGAAAAAAAATTTATTTGATTCAAATACCGGTGTATCTGGTTATTATCAAATAAATATTTACTTGAATCAAATATTTCAGTATTTGAAGCAAATACCATTTATTTGATTCAAATAAGAAATATTTGATTCAAGTAAATATTTATTTGATAATAACCAAATACACCGGTATTTGAATAAAATAAATTTTTTTTTCAGTGTACCTATTTTTATGTTGTGCTTTTCCATAATGCAGGGCCATAATGTTTCAAATTAGAAAATTCAATGTAAATAATTATCATGTAATTAATTTAATTTATATATTAAAATTAGATGAATAATTTTCAATTTATGTGCTGACATACCTCGTGTCCACTAACCGAAAAATTTGAAAACTCAGGGTAAATGGAAACAGCTGGTCATTATTAACCAAATTAACAAAAATCAAAAATTCAAGTGAATTTCTGTTGTGGGAGTCATAAGGAATAAGAAAAAAATTTGGTATGATTTTTAAGTCTGTTTTCTTTGAAACGCGAGACAAAATACTGAAACAGTTTGACTTTGATTTTCAAGTTTTTATGCATTGAGCGATAACTTTTTTTATCTTGCTGCCAATTGTCAAAATAAAAGCTTGTTAATACTCAAAACCTGTTGAAGGTGATCTGAGGTTAAAATATAGACATTGAACTTAATTTTAAAACTGTAAATTAAGCTCCAAAACCTCTTGTCCCCATTTACCCCAACTGACCCTACTATATTTTTTTTCATTATAAAAAATTATTTTAATTCATATATATATATATGTTTTTATTAATAATTACTTGTTATACGACAATAATTATATTGTCCTTTTATGTTCAATACCAGAAATGAATAATTAAATCGATTTCTACTTTTGTTACATTTCAAAATAAGTGTAAATAGTGTCCCAGTTTTTTTTTCTCTGAAAACGATTTTTAGTTTCTATTTGTGTATTTTAGTTATACAATAAAATAAAAAATTTTTCTTTTTCCACTAGAAATAATATTTGTTTGGTTATAGTTTTGAGTTTAAAAAAATAATTTAGTGGATAACAAAACGTTTCTTATTGTCTCAACCAAAAAAAAAGAAGGAAATTCAAAATTAAATTAAATTGTAATTATAAAAAATTTTATTTAAATATAGTAGCAAAAGAAAAAGAGTTTAAAAAATTATTAAATTGGAAAACAAATATATGTACCGACTGTTGAAAACCATCCTTAGCGTAACGAGAATTTTTGTGAAAATGATAACCTTCCATGTTGATATGGTGACTTTTGCTCTTTTCTTTCTTTTTTTTTTTTTTTTTTTTGTTGACACTATTTTTATGTATGTGTTTTTTTTTAATTATGTCAAAAATTGGCTTCTTGATAATTTTGTTGACGTGTGAGATAATATAATAATAATAATATAAGGCACTTGTACAGTCACATTAATTTTGAATCGTCAATAACTGTTGGTAAATTTGCACAAGGGAGGAATATTTTTTTTTGACATGGTTGAATCATGATGGATTGAATGAGTGAATGATGGCATGGTAAACATGCTTGTACTGCGAGCGTTGACATTCGTCACTTCACATTTTGACAAGTGACAAATGTCAGCAATAGAAATGGCTTTTCGATGATAAATTTATCTTCACTGGTTACGCGCAGGGTTATGATTAAAAGCGTGTTTTTTTGGACGATTAAAATCGACGATAATAAACTTCAAATTTTCGTTATTTATAACCTTGTTTTCTACTTCATATATTTACAAAAAATTTTTGCCTATATATATATATTGTGAAAAAAATTTTTTTACGAAACGTTAACCTTACTTTTTTTATTTACAACTTGAAATATTATATATAGAACGGTATAGTGTTATTTTTTTTTGTTTTAAACAGAAATTTTCAAAATTAATAATAATTATAAAATTGGCAAAACTTTTTTTTTAAATCAAAATAATTCTGTTTTTAAAAGGAAAATACATCCAGAAAAAAGATTTCTTTGATTCAAAGAAATGAATTTGTTTGACAAATTTTTCTTTGATACAAAGAAAATTCATTTGTATCAAACAAATTTTCTTTCATTCGAAAAAAAAATCGTCTTATAAATAAAGAATTATTTTCATTATATTAATTATTAAAAATTATTAAAAAATATCTTCGTTTCATAGAAATTTTTTATTTAATTCAAATAAATGTTTCTTTGACCCTGTATCAATGTTAGAATTTTTTTGATTTAATGCACAAATTTCTTTCATTCAAAGAAAATTGTATTTTGAATGCAAGAAACCAAGTCAAAGAAATTGATTTCTTTAAATCAAAGAAATCTTTTCTTTAGATGTAAAACGGATAAATTTAAAAAAGAAATTTTGAATTTTTATGAAACTTTGATTCTAAGAGTTTTTAGGATCGCTGACTACGAATTTGAAATCAAAATTTCAAAATTAAAATTGTCGAATTTAAAAAAAAAATTGGTAGATTTTTAAAAAAAAATTGTTGTTTATTGGTTTTTGAAGTGGGTAACTGATTGTAAATATTGATTTATAATCAGCAACCCCAAAAACTCCTAGATATCAAATTTCACAAAAATTTAACAATTTTTTGAAAATTCATTCGCCATTTTGAATTTTTTAAATCTAACTTTACATTCGTAATCAGTGATCCAAAAAAAAGCTACAAATTTCATGTGAATTAGATCATAAAAATTCATCCGCAATATTGTATCGGATATTTTTAATTTAATTTTTTTTACCATATTGTCAGTCCTGGAATTTTGCAATTGGGAAGGTATCACGACCAATTTTGACTTAAATTTAAATTACCATACGAGGTTATATTTTTTTTATGCCTCATTTGGGTCCTAAAAATACATATACATGGTGGTCAAAAATAGAAAATAATCATTTTTGACCAGATTAGAAATTAAAGTTATAAAAAAATTAAAATTTTCAAAATTGTACTTCTTTTCCAATTTTTACTATTTTCTTTCTCCAAATTTTTTCCACACTTTTTTTGTAATGAGTGGGTCAAAATTGAATATTTTTGTCATGAGAAAAATTTTTATTAAGAAATTGTCATAGGAAATTTGATATTTGTGGCCATTTTGTTATAATAAAAATTTCTAGGTTAAAGCCAATATATTTCAATTAAAAGATGTTTTTTTCATTTTTGTCCTAAATGGCTTTTAGTTTATTGCAACAATTGACATGACGCGTTTCAACACAGAATTCTGTGTCCTCATCTCTGCAAAGATAAATCTTTTTAGAATTTTTTTGAAAATAATTTACTAAAATTGCCTAAAGACTGTTTTCCCAATTTCGAAAAAATTAATTTAGTTTATGAAATAAATTGTAAAAATTGTAATTCATGTTATGTGGCTGAGACATCACAGCATCTAAAGAATAGAATATCTAGACACAAATATCAGGAGTCGATAAAAAGTAAAGAAACAGCCCTTTGTAAACATTCAACGGAACTAAAACATCATTTTAATTTTTCATCAAATGATGTTAAAATTTTACATTCAGAAAAAAATTTACGAAAACGAAAAATTATAGAAATGCGTATTATATTTTAAAAGAAAATAGTTCAATTAACTTTAAAACTGATGTTGAAAAGTTAAGTTATATTTATTTACAGTTAATATCATAACATTTTTTTTATATACGTTTGTGAACCGACCTTTATATATTCAGCACTTTTTATATGAACCTTGGCTTGATACCGTTTTGATTCTCGATACTAAATCTACTTTTAATTTACCTTTCTAACCTACAAAATTGAAACACATGTCAAACATGTGTTTCAAAAAAAGTTATATTTTTAATTTATAATTTTTAACTTAACACATATAATATTTTTTCAATTCAATTTTCAAAATTAATTAAAGGTACATGTTTCGTAATTATATAAAAAATAATTTAAGGCCAGGTCCAAGTGAGGCAGTGCCATCTACATTGAAACTAAAATTTTGGAAAATTTTCAACAGCCTTTTCTTGAAAACAAGATGATAAAATGCTTTTTCCTTTATGGATAATTGATTATTGGCAAGATATGTACCAGCTAAAACTTTTTTTGAGTTAAAATAATGAAAAAAATTTCATGTCGATAAATTAAATATGAGCACTTTTTTCACAAAAACTGTAACAGTACTTTCTCAGAAATTACAATCAAAAATGCAACTTCCATTTCGAAAATTAATAAACGCTAAAAAATACACGACCTAAGATTTACCAATCACGAAAATAACAAAAAAAAGTATTTTAACATAACATATTTTACTCATTATGACAGCCGTTTGGCAGCTTATATATGTCACCAGACATTTCGCGATTTTGCCGAAAGGAGGAGATTGGCGCTGTTGCTAACCACCTGAAATACATAATCTACCAAAGGGCTGTCACAATCAGTAAAGCAGTATCAATATGTTAAATATTTAATAAAATTTTTTTTTGTTATTTTCGTGATTGGTAAATCTTAGGTCGTGTATTTTTTAGCGTTTATTAATTTTCGAAATGGAAGTTGCATTTTTGATTGTAATTTCTGAGAAAGTACTGTTACAGTTTTTGTGAAAAAAGTGTTCATATTTAATTTATCGACATGAAATTTTTTTCATTATTTTAACTCAAAAAAAGTTTTAGCTGGTACATATCTTGCCAATAATCAATTATTCATAAAGGAAAAAGCATTTTACCTTCTTGTTTTCAAGAAAAGGCTGTTGAAAATTTTCCAAAATTTTAGTATCAATGTAGATGGCGCTGCCTCACTTGGACCTGGCCTTAAGTAATAGCTGCTTCTGACAGTTTTACATTTTTACAGCCCAGGTGCGAATTTCGGTCGGCCGCCAGAGTTGGTTCGTCGGCCCATGGTCGGCCCAACTCTGGCTGCCGACCGGTCGGCAGCCAGAGTTGGGCCGACCATGGTAAATATTTGCACCCAAAGTTGGGCCGACTATGGCTGCCGACGTCGGCAGTCACGGTTGGGCCGACCATGGCAGCCATAGTTGGGCCGACTATGGGGGATTATGGTCGGCACAACCTTGGCAGCCATAGTTGGGCCAACCTTGGCTGCCATAGTTGGGCCGACCAGGGGGGGTAATGGTCGGTCCAACTATGGCAGCCACAGTTGGGCCAACCATGGCTGCCATAGTTGGGCCGACCATGGGGGTAATGGTCGGCACAACCTTGGCAGCCATGGTTGGCCCAACTGTGGCTGCCATAGTTGGGCCGACCATTCTTCCCCATAGTCGGTCCAACTATGGCAGCCACAGTTGGGCCGACTAAGGGGAAAATGGTTGGCACAACCTTGGCAGCCATAGTTGGGCCAACCTTGGCTGCCATAGTTGGGCCGACCATGGGGGACAATGGTCGGTACGACCTTGGCAGCCAAGGTCGGTCCAACCTTGGCTGCCATAGTTGGGCCGACCATTCTTCCCCATAGTCGGCCAAACTATGGCAGCCACAGTTGGGCCGACTAGGGGGAGAATGGTCGGCATGACTTTGAAAACCGCAGTTGGGCCGACTACGGGGAATGTAGTCAGCATGACTGGCAGCCGAGTATATCGATGGTCGGTATATCAAGGATTACAGAATTATTTTTCTCAAAAGAAACACGATTGTTGTCGTGTTGTGCTAAACAACAATAAATTTTCTTGCGAGATATTATTTGCTTACAAGTGGAATGTCAAAAGTTAAGTTCGATTGATTTATAAAATGATTAAAGCGAAATCGAATTATATAAATATATATATATATATATATATATATATATATATATATATATATATAAATATATATCTCGCAAGAAAATTTATTGTTGTTTAGCACAACACGACAACAATCGTGTTTCTTTTGAGAAAAATAATTCTGTAATCCTTGATATACCGACCATCGATATACTCGGCTGCCAGTCATGCTGACTACATTCCCCGTAGTCGGCCCAACTGCGGTTTTCAAAGTCATGCCGACCATTCTCCCCCTAGTCGGCCCAACTGTGGCTGCCATAGTTTGGCCGACTATGGGGAAGAATGGTCGGCCCAACTATGGCAGCCAAGGTTGGACCGACCTTGGCTGCCAAGGTCGTACCGACCATTGTCCCCCATGGTCGGCCCAACTATGGCAGCCAAGGTTGGCCCAACTATGGCTGCCAAGGTTGTGCCAACCATTTTCCCCTTAGTCGGCCCAACTGTGGCTGCCATAGTTGGACCGACTATGGGGAAGAATGGTCGGCCCAACTATGGCAGCCACAGTTGGGCCAACCATGGCTGCCAAGGTTGTGCCGACCATTACCCCCATGGTCGGCCCAACTATGGCAGCCATGGTTGGCCCAACTGTGGCTGCCATAGTTGGACCGACCATTACCCCCCCTGGTCGGCCCAACTATGGCAGCCAAGGTTGGCCCAACTATGGCTGCCAAGGTTGTGCCGACCATAATCCCCCATAGTCGGCCCAACTATGGCTGCAATGGTCGGCCCAACTGTGACTGCCGACGTCGGCAGCCATAGTCGGCCCAACTTTGGGTGCAAATATTTACCATGGTCGGCCCAACTCTGGCTGCCGACCGGTCGGCAGCCAGAGTTGGGCCGACCATGGGCCGACGAACCAACTCTGGCGGCCGACCGAAATTCGCACCTGGGAAACTATCAATTAGTAAAAGCTCAAAGTATCTAAAATAAAAATTTATTTAATTGTTACATAATTTTTATTTATTTTGAAATTAAAAGTTTTATATAAATAATTTTCTTATCTAAATTGTTTTATTTTTAGATTAATTTTTTTTTCATTATTATAATTAACATTTTATTTTTATTT